TTTCGACTTTTCACGGCGAACTCAAAGAGCACTAGGCTGCAAATTTCGTCACCAACGTTATAGACAAAAAGTCAATTTCTACAACTAAAGAATACGTCACAGTTGGAGTCACATTATAACGCCTCTCTTCTTCCGTTTCTGAAATGGCTGTCATGTGTACATTTTTTAATTGTGGAGATTGAAGATAATCGGTTCTAGTTTCATACATGTACCATATGACAAAGTCTCATCTTTATCAGTCTAATTATCTAATTAATTTGTATCATCTTCTAATATGTGTATATATTGTATTTTAATATGGGCACTGGGCATGACACAAGCATTTTCTAACTGGTGTGTTTGAAACGATCCCATGATATGTCTGATATGACAAAGTTTCTTTCGTCCTCCTCTGCAGGGAAGCGACTGTTGACGTTGAAGATGTTGGTTGAGGCCATGAGAGACACCGTGTGATACAACTACAAACCTGACTGACACTCAACTAGCTACTAATGGGAGATTTGACAAGTCGGTCAACACATCGAAGAGAAAGGGCCAGGCATTTTATCCAAACTATGTAATGATATGAACATTGTGTAACACATTTAAATTCCCATAGCTTAAAGATGTGAACATCAACGGTCATTTCTTCAATTTTATACTCTAATATCGACCAAATACAAGTAACAATCTCTGGGCATAGGTCTGAATTGAATTATGTTGACCGACCTATATTCGTGTTTCGCTACCGGTTTGATCAAGCATTCGTTTAGATTTGTGTTGTCAAGTTGTTTTGGACATTATTAGTATTATCTTTGCTGGTATATATGTACAACTCCTCATTTTGTCTCGATTCTACAATGGAATAACTGTAAATTTCAAAGTGTGTGAAATGGTAATAAATCTGTTGTAATAAAGTTACACGAGTGTGCGTATTTTTGTGAACGGAGTCAACTAGGAATAAAAACAGAAAATAAAAACGGTAGTCCATAACAGTCCTAAAACTGCCTCGCAACAAGTATGCCTTGGTTGTCCATCGTTGTCGATGATGACTTCTACGTTGCACCCTCTCCTCATCTGATGTGCACCCGCATGTGGCTCAGGAGTCCAAGGCCGTGTTTATGTGAAGTCACCCAAGGCGCTTTACATGTGGTTTATCCCGAAGCCGGTTTGAAGTGGCTCCATCTGAACGCTCCAAATCATATTGAAAGGTATGTGTGGCACGTGGACCAGATGTGAGGAATGCGAGTTACCCGAATCGCGGTTTGGGTGACTTCACATAAACACGGCCCAATTCTGGATCTGCAGGGTCGTTCGCACTGCTCGCAGCTGAACTGGAACGGACTCTGCTCCCTGGTCACTGCTGCCGCTGCTTTACGTCTGTGTCTAGCCTATTCAATGTTTGCAACAAGTATGCACAATTAGGCTAATTGTCCTCTAAATATTTCATGAGCCAGTATTGCTGCGTGCATCGTTGTCATTAAAACATCACACATTCAGCTGGAGAAATGTAAAAGGCGGTAAGGTGTAGCCACGAAATGGCCGCTGTTAGGCCGGGTGTGGGAGAAACTCAGAAAACAGGTCCATCCGCATTTTCATCTTGTAACCACAGATTGAGTCCTGCCTACAGGTTGTCACAGTAACAAATACTCCACAGATTTGGGTTTAAACTACAACTTTCTTCTAC